GATAAGAAACAAGAAGCGCACATCGCACAGACAGTGAGGGTGTGAGAGGCGGACCTAAGGGAAGGTCCTACATCTCTTTACGACCCCTGACCGAGCTCCCGCTCGACAGAGTTTGGTACGATTTCTAGCAATGCTCTCCGTCCTCGACATTTGATGCCTGCCTTCACAGATAGGTTGATAAGAAACAAGAAGCTCACATCGCACAGACAGTGAGGGTGTGAGAGGCGGACCTAAGGAAGGTCCTACATCTCTTTACGACCCCTGACCGAGCTCCCGCTCTTCACAGCTTTGTTATTGAGAAGAAAATACCTCCTATGGCGCTGTGCGCTGGTCTGTGAGAGGTTGAGGTGCGAGCCCTGGAGGCCCTGGGGATGGGGGGGGACTACCCGCGGGCTTAGAAGGCCCGCGCGCAGGGGGGTGGGGCATTGAGACCGGTCATGAATGAGTGCGCGACACGCATGTTGCGAGCAGCGTTGTTGATGTTTTGCGCATCGCCACTGACGGCGGCGCGCGAGAGCTGTTGCGAGTGGTGTTGGGCGAAGCCCCGGGCGCTGCCGGAGGCTGTGCCGTAGTCGGTGCGGTCGACGGCGCTCGGGCTGCCGACCTCTTTGGCGAAGTTGAAGATGATTCTCTTGGTTGGCGGCGCGATGCCGCCCTGGACGATTCCGTATTCACACTGCCCCGTCACGACTTCGACACGCATATCCTCAGAGCCGCCACACTGGCCACATTCACGCCGCCACACCGATGGCCGAGGAGGAAGCCGCGTCCACCTCGCCTGGCAAGGACGAGCTGCGACGGCTCATCGTCGCGGCTGGCGAGGAGCTGCGAGCCGCCCGGGCCGGCGGCGACAGTGGCGCGGGCGCCGACGTCCTCGCGCGGCTCCTCGACCTGAAGCAGCGGTACGAGGCGCTGACGGGCGAGGAGTTTCGGACCAAGTCGGTCAAGCGGAGCCGAAAGGAGGCCGCCGCGTCGGGCGCCGCGCCGTCGGCCGCACAGCCCAACCCCAACCCGCCAAAGCGCGCCAAGCAGGCCAAGGTGGACCTGGGACGCTTCACGCCGGCCGCTGACCCGATGCAGCTGCCTCCGCCCGCGAGCAGCTTCCCGCCCTGGGCGCCGCGCGACTTTTTCCGCTTCGAGGTGCTGCACACCTCGCGCAAGCCCGGCTCGCGGGCGCGCGTCGGCCGGATCCACACTCCGCACGGCGTGATCGAGACGCCCTGCTTTGTGCCGGTGGGGACGAACGGGGCGCTCAAGGCGGTGGACGAAGCGCAGGGTCGCGAGGCGGGGACGCAGCTCATGTTTTTGCACACCTACCACTTGCTCG